TAGTAATTCCAACTCGTAGTAATTCCACGCGTGGTAATTCGATGCGTGGTAATTCCATGCGTAATAATTCCAACGCGTAGTAATCCCACGCGTCGTAATTCGATGCGTGGTGATTCGGCGCGTGGTAATTCCATACGTAGTAATTCTAACGCGTAGTAATTCCACGCGTGGTAATTTGGCGCGTGGTGATTCGACGCGTGGTGATTCGACGCGTGGTAATTCAATGTATAGTAATTCCAACGCATATTAATCCTCTACAAGTTAAAAGTCCAGATAAATCAAAAAGTCTACTGACAAAGAAAAGTAAAATCCACATTGCACTAATTGAAAGAGAAAGTGATTGACATCAAAACAAACACAAGAGTTAAAAATGCTTTCATCGGCGATTAACGCTCGCCTGTGTACCCGTAGTCTTACGACAAAGCTTTTACAGCGGTGAAAACTGGCGTAACATCGCGCGGACTTACGGTGATTCGAATCGGTGCTTTAATGGCCGCCAATTCCTGCCGCACCGTGTGCGTTAATGCAACAGTTCCGTGTTTGCAAGTGGGGTACAGGTTCCAGCCATTACAGCCATCGATTTCCAAAAAGGATCCGCTTGGAATTTTGTGTCCCAGCACGCTACCGCGCGAAACAAAAAATTGCTTCAACATCCAGTCGCCCGTGGCTACCCATTTGCACAGAGTTTTATTCGAATCAACTTCGAGCGCAAACAACCAAAACGTTTGTTTCGGTCTTGAAAGCGTTGACCGCGTTTTTTTCCTTCCCGTTTTATTGCCGATGCCGGATACGTGCTCGAACAACGTTAGTCGACATTTTCAAATATTTCTCGTTCTGGAATTTTTGCTAGTGTTGTACACGCTCGCAGTTCTGGTTCGAAATTGGTAGGTTCTAGGTCGAAATTGGTTTCTATAGAATATGGCAATCTAGGGTTTGGAATTCTTACGCATGTTCATTTTTTAAATTTTGAAATTTGAGAATTTTGTGGTTTGGTGACTTGTGGGTTTGAGGATTTAAACAGTTGGAAATTAGTCGAAGAGTTTGGAACTTGTAAATTAAAACAAGTAGAAATTGAAAAATTTGTAAACTCGAACTTATGAAAATTCCTCAAATTTATAAAACAGTAAGTTTTAGAAAAATATAAAATATTATGACAATGGTGTGTGATAAAGTAGAGGGTGAAGACTTGACAAAACAATCGCGAGCAACAATACCTGTTGATATTGAAAATATGCCCTTCGACGTTCCGCTGGCGCATCGAGCGCACCGCCCAGTTGATGCACATGGAGGTCGCGAGGACATTAATATTTAACAGCCTTTGAAACGTCCGCCTGTCGCTCTCTACAAGTGTAATTTATGGAATTTTTAAAATGTGCCAATGACCAGAAGAACGAGATACCGAGCGTAATACTCTCGGCTCACAGAGACACAGAGTATGAAAGTAGCCACCCTCTTTTTGCTTTCATCGTTCGACGCGTATGAATTCATTTTCGTTACGCTTTTAAATCGTATCGATTAATCGCGACTGGATTCTCCAACAAGTTTCTTGTACCATTTCCTTCGTCAGTTATAATTGACTCGTGATCTTGTAGCAGGAAATATGACTTATCTTTGAGCGACCGCGAAGATAATTTCGTGGTTAAAGGATATTTTTCATTTCTGACGGAAACGAATCGCGATACTGTCTAAATATCCGACAACTTGACACTGATGATTCTGGAATTACGTGAATCATTTGTAACTACTACAACCCTTCAGGGTGGTTCAGAAATGAGATGGAAGTTTATATTTGCATCGCTGAAATTTGTTTTCAATGCACACTCGATATGGAACAGTCACAAAGTAATCTTATTGTTAGAATTACAATAGAAAACGCCTTCAAATTTCTGGTAATTTGTATTTGGAAAATATGGATAATACTCTGAGAATTTTTATGATTCAACAAAATTCATTACATTTGATGATGCATTATATATACATCTTACCAATAATGCGTTTGTAGTCCGCAACCCCAACATTATTTACCATGATGTCCACCCCACCATCCTCTTCAACAAGAGTGAAAAAGTCCTCCAGGTTCTCTGGCTCGCTTACGTCGCAAACTACGTACCGGAAGTGTCCACGTGTTTCGTTTTCTTTCCACTTACTAGAGAGACACGATTCGGATCGTATGTCCAGACCTATCACGTTTACCATGTTCCTCAAGAGGTCAAGTGCAATTGCTTCTCCAATACCAGATGCTACGCCGGTGACAACCGCGGTTTTACCAGCCCAGCGTTCCATATATTTCGATCCCATCTTTGCTTGTCTTAAAAATTATTTTATCATCGATTTTACATTCTTCCGACTACACAATCATTAATGTCCGTTTGTGCCATCTATAGCGTTAAATCAGCACTTACCACGGAAAGAGATGACACTAATTACTCATCTGCTCTTCGCCGAATGATATGTTTTCGTAGAAATACTATTATTCACGAGTGGACTAGTTATCCAAGCCACGACGACACACTGCGTGCCAGAGGAAACAACGCATGAATCAACGGCTCAATTGCGTAATCGCGAATCGTCAACTGCGCGGTGAATTCAGGGACGCGGTGGGGAAATAGCGTGTCAAAAAAGCTTTTTATATTATATGATTGACTGCAAAACACGCTTGTCGAATGCGATTGATAACAATAATCAGTAAGTCGTCTTCAATGATACGTCACGATAGATACTATTATCTGACATTTCACTTGTCAATACTATTATCTAGTGTCAATGTGCTATTCTTGCAGAAACCTTATTATTCACAACCAACAAATTTCAGTGCAAAAACAATTTTTCAGAATTTTTAATAATATATGTTTGCCCACAGATACTGTCAGAATATTGAACAGAAACGGAACTTCGATTAGTTACAGCAAAAATATTATTCTTCGCTCTACCTATTTTCGACACGAACGAACTATCGGTTACAACAGCCAAACACATCAATCAGGTCGAAAAACATGGAAAATATGCTTCTCTCAATTCTTAGAATTCATCAAATGGAACTGAAAATTTAATTTTGTCTGCAGTCTCCATAACCTGTTCCATAGTGTGCCTCACCACATACGTCAATTATCACTGCAGCACTCAACAGTGCATCTGACCTTTATAACAAAAATTGGTGTCTGTCAAACATGCTTAACACGATACATGATTACCTAATTTTATTTTTTGATCGGTTATATCATCGTCTTAACATTGAACACTCTAAAGAATTCCTTTCATTTATCTTCCCTATAAATAATTATTTTAATTGAATGTGCAGCACTGATCACATGGCTAACGTGTTACACGATAGTCGAATGTTTCGTGCCGAGTTACATACAATCTTAAGTAGTTAAAGACAAGATAGCGTCCGTGATCAGCCGGTAGTCTGATCACGATAAGGGAAAACAGACGAAGCAAAAACGGATCGGGGGATTCGCGTGCACGTCGAGCGGATGATCCCGCAGAACGTAATACATATCTGAAAGTCGTCTGGCAGAATCTCGGGGATTTTGAAACGACGCCGATATTCCGTGCAGCGTCTCCGAGGAGAGATTGGTCCGCAGTCGGTACGCAGAAACCGATGTGACTGGGATACGAGCAGGGATTGCGGCAGGTCACGTCGTGCTTCTCTTAAAACAAGTAAAGGCCGTGGCAAAACTGGGCGGATAGAGTCACCGGGTAAACGGATAAACGTAAGCCGAAGGATCTTTGTCCTGTTTCGTGACGCTACCGTATCCGTACGGCCATAGCATCCTGTATTTCTGCAGACATTTGTTTCCCGAAGGTAGATGAAAACGTTGACAAACTTGCAATCGCGCGGACATTTTTTAAATTACATTTCTCGTGACGTACCATCCGAGTCGTACGATTTTGAAGTTACAGGCTCGATTATCGGAGAGAAGAGAAGCTGTCTGCGACTTCGTCCTTTTTCGTAGATAACGCAGGATCTGGCAGAGATCGCAGAATCTCGAGATTCGAAATCAGAGAACTCGTTCCTTCGCAGATAAACGATATCCGCTTTCCGGACGCAATAACAACGGCGTGTATCGATCTTCGGAGGCTGGCAGCTGGTCCGGTCCTGGGACCTGGAACATTATTCTCGCTCGCGCGCTACCGCGAGGAAATCAACAAGAAAAGCAGCGGAAGCTTTATCCGTTTCCTGATGCCGAGCACCAGATGCTCCTGCAGCTCGGTCATTTCTCAACGTTGCCGTGATTATACGGGTCCCATGCCGTACTTACCGCCACCATTCCTCCTGTATTTTTCATGGAGGTTTCAACGAAGAATCGCGGACGACTTCGATCGTTCGAGTAAATGCTCTCTGTACAAATTTTACACATTTCATAGAAACAGATACAACCTCTGCAAATTTTAGAAATTCTCAAATTTCATACGACACGAACGTTGCAATGAAAATTAATGTATGTAATCTGACACACTGTAGTGATTATTAACCCCTTGCGTAAGGTGACTCACACTCACTGCTCGCATTAAGCTTAGCATCCCCTTTCATTTGCTTTTCTTGTCAATAATTAATGTAACCAAATTTGCAACATCACCATCATGGCAGTCAACCAGTGTTTGAAGCGATCACACCGCAAGGTGTCATTACTATCTGATATCATAGAAGAACGACACAGAAAACATGCAGGAAGTACGCAAAATGCGTAAGATGCTTTAACATGGAAGCATTAACGGGTTAAGAAGTGTTCGAAAAGCGTCATTATTACGTTTGCGATACAAAGGGGAGGGTGGCTCGCGAAGCGCGAGAATGTCGTTGGAGACGTTCGAGAGAAAGGGGTTGACGAGCGTCCCTACTTTCCATTCTTCCCTTGTTGTTCCATTCCACGGAAGATCAGTGGCGGGCTTATTGCCTCATGAATATGTATAGGAGAGATCGCTCTCAGGCCCGTACGAAGCGGAGATGTTGGCCGTTGGACGTGTCGGGGTTGAAGGAGGCCGAAACCGAGGGTAGAGCGGATGGGAATGACCGCGAACGAGACGCTGAGAAATTAACGAGTCAACGGCCGCCGGATATTACACGCTGCGATAAACAGAGCATCGAGGACCAGGTGATGCTGCGAGAACGGTCATTTTCCTAAATGCAAATCGAGCAAATTTTCGACCGACGAGTTTCTATACGGTACGTGACGGATTTTCTGAATCTACAAAAAGACGCGTTATCGTGAACGTACACGACGGATTTCGACGTTGAAACACCGGTATTTTTTAGGGAAAAGATTTAGCTTTTGAACGTTCGCGGAATTAAAATGTAGAAAGCAGCGTCAAGAATTGTTTTCTATTTTTCTTGGCGCGACGCTCGCTGAAAAACGGGATTTAATAAGCTCGTCCACGGAAATCGCGGTCTCGCGAGCGTCTGCGACTCGACGGTGATCAACAGGAATTTCAGATCGGATAATGCGATGCCTCGGAGTTAATTCGGTCCACGTTGCCGTTGGTAACCGAAAATTTAATTGACGATTCGACGCGATTCGAGCTAGGAAAGCAACCGACAAGGATTCGCCCGACGCGACAAACGTTTTCGCGACAATGGGTCTCTGGTGGAAATTTCGCTGTCGCTTTTCAGCCGTGCCGGGAACGCTCGCGTTCGTATTATTCTCCGTCTCGCAATTAATCCACCGACGAATGAAAACGTTTTATCTTCGTGGCGGTGCGTTGAAAAATATTCGTGGTACGCGTGCCCGTCCGTATCGCGCCGCGGCACGGTAATTTTCTTTCTCGCTCTCTGTTATTATGGGGTAAAAGAAAAATTACCGGAGGCGTTAGTTGGTTGTTGCTAACAAATCGATGCGCGTAATCACTGTTGTAGCGTTAAGAAATGATCGAGTGCCGGAAGCATCTGGCGCCCTGGACCCACGAGAAACGAGCCCAGCAACCTTGCTCTGGCTTTCTTGTTGATTTTCTCATCGCTTTCCACGAACCAGAATAATACTGTGTCGGTCGGTCGGTCTGGTTTGCGGTATTTGAATTTCTTATGTACACAAGTGGCGAACGGTCGAGTTTTAAGGGAAACAAGCCGCCCTGTATTATTCCGTCCTAACGTAGGATTTCAATATTAAACGCATGCAAATAAATGTGCACGCGCGATAAACAGGATACGCTTCGTTGGGATTTACTTACTACCTCGGTACTGTACCGTTGATAGAGCGAATTTCTAACGAACCACCGGCACGCCACCGGAATATCTTACCCGGCCAATGGGGTTAAAAGTCCCGGATACGATTTACGTATAGAAGATTCGACTATCGTGAACTCTGGATATTACTCTCAAACTGAAAATCTCCTTCCAAAATATCTTGCTTACTTTCAAACAAAAAGATATGCCTCCTACACAAACATTCGCAATTCAATAATCTCCTGTTTTCGTTTCTTAACGCTAAACCTACCGGCATACATATAATGTGTACTTAATTTGAAATTAAAAATGAAGTTGAAAAATAAGTAAACAAACAACGAAACATAAAATAGTACACACATTTATTCTTTATCTAGAAATCAATTCTGATTTTAAGTAAAGTATTTTAACAAAATGTGTTTGTTATAATAAGAAGCTTGTGAAGCAGTCATTTGACCGGTTTGGTAATTTCAGTGTTAATAGCTCACCAAAAACAGGTTATTAATCTTTACATGTCACCGTTTCGATAAAATCGCATGGGTGTACCATCGATCTTGGTGGAAAAGAATCTCGATAATCAGCTTTGAAAGAGCTTGATTTCATTCTCCCGTAACATTATTTTCTCTTTCTTGAATTCTGATTCGTCTTGGCGGCGCATCTCGAGGGATCGAAGTCTCGTCAATAGACAGAAAATATCGTATTACTCTGCGGATTGCCCGTTCCAGCACGAAATAAAGATTCGCGACGAGCGAAGGAGCCCTTATTATGCATGAGACAGCCGTCAAATCGTTTCGAGAGCAACGATCGGCCACGAGCGAACGCCAGTTTCCGCGCCTTTAACGAGATCTCGATACGACGTGTCACATAGTTGATAAGCCGGTTCGGATATAAATTTTCCTTCGTACCAAGAGATCCGTTGCGGCGGCACCGACGTTTCAGCGATAAATTATAATCAGCCCGTCGCAATATTTCTTTCAGCGTCACGTTGAAATATCGAATGGAGCATTCGATATTATTAGAAGCGTTCGAGGAACGTGAGCCACTTGAGACCGACCGAGATATTCAACGCGTATTTCGGTTCTACAGACGAGAAAGAACTTCTTCTACAAGTATATTTTCACCGACAGTTCAATGTTTCTCGGATGCATTACGCGATTAACGAGCGACGATCGATCTTCAAACTGATCGTACATTCTCGGGAATAAATTAGTAGAATCTCGAGCACGGAGATACTCGAGGTATTATAACAAAAGAAAGATTCGCGTTGCTTCGGATGCGAGTCAATTTTTCAACAAACTTTGTCGACTAAAGCCCTACGGATGGAGTAAACAAACAACGAAACATAAAATAGTACACACATTTATTCTTTATCTAGAAATCAATTCTGATTTTAAGTAAAGTATTTTAACAAAATGTGTTTGTTATAATAAGAAG